CACTTACTAGGCAAACAATCTACCATTTGAACCTTGCCCCTAACCCTTTTGCTTTTTAGTCTATTTTTCAGATAGGGTCTCACACCTTTGCCTAGGCCAAATGCTAGTTAATGCAGAGTCATGGTCATAGCTGTGAGGAGCCAAGCAGCACACAGGATCATCTCACTTTGCTCATCAACTAAACTTCCTCAGTGTAGGAAAATGGCAAACCCAACAATGCCTCAGCAAAATGTGACTTCTTGTGTCATCCTACTAAGGAAGAAAACAAGCTCCCTGATATACAATGAAAGAGCAGGAGAAACTGCACTGCATGTGACTCTCACCTATAATCCTAGCTACTTGGGAGGCTGAGATTGGGAAGATTTTGGTATGAGGCCAGCCCAGGCATGAAACTCCATCTTGAAAATAACCAGAACAAAATGGGCTGGAGGTGTGGCTTAAGTGGTAGAGCACCTGCTTTGCAATCAGGAAACCCTGAGTTCAAACTCCAGTCCTGCCAAAAAACCAAAAGACAAAAGACTGCAGTGCAGCTGATGAGCTTAGGAGAGACTGCCTAGGCTTAAGCCATTTTCCCAAGCATTACCAAAACACGTTTAGAACAAATCAGACAATCTCCCTCATCTTTCATTCTCATTATAACCCTGCAAGATAGCTCCCATTATCATTGAAGAAAAACCACAGAACAGGAAGGGTGAATAACTTATCCATATGGCTGCTGCTACAGAGCATTAGAGGGGCTGGATGTGACTCAGTTGTTGGTTCTTGTCTAGCATGCCTGAGGCCCTGGATTTCAAACCCAGTCAAGCACCACAAACAAATACAGGAGGCCATTGGATTTGAAATAAGCTCTTATACTAGACCCCAACAGACCAGACTAAAAACAGAGTCACTCCCACTGAAGTTCCAAGTCACCAAGGTGAAACTTTATCAGACCCAAAATATCAGGATTAGAAAGAATAGTCAAATTTCATTAGCATAATAATGAGGTCCTGTGCCTTAATGCTTTCACAGAAAAGTACCCAGAAGTAACCTTATGTAACTAGTTAATTTTCTATTGCTCTGTCTCCCTGTCCCCAACTTACAAGAAAGTAACTTAAGTGATCAATCTTCTTTTTTTCTGGTTTCTTCGGCTCTTTTCTGTCTACAAAACCAATTTCCTCTGGTCACTCACTGGAAGCTCTCGTTCCATTTAATGGAATAAAGTGTTGCCTGATTTTTGAGTTAAGGGGAAAAAAAACCAGCAGAGTAAGATTGTTAAACTAAATTTTAACTTTGTCCTTGACACTGTGGTAGACAGGGGTTTGAACACAGGTCCGAATCTAAACCTCATTTCCCACCTTATTGCTACATTATGCTGCTTCATCAGCTGGTAGGCAGATGGAATGAAAAAAGACAAATTGTCAACATGTCACTCTTGAGGATGTAACTGGAATTTCACATAATTTTGCAGCATTTTTCTTTTTTTGGTAGTATTGGAGCTTCAACTTGAGCCACTCCTCCAGCCCTGTTTTTTTTTTTTTTCTTTTTGTTTGGGATTTTTCGAGATAGGGTCTCGGAAAACTATTTGCCTGGACTGGCTTCGAACCGTGATCCTCCTGATCTCTGCCTCCTGGTGTGAGCCACCAGCGCCCAGCTTGTAGTATTTTTCTTTTTAATCATGTAATATTTTTGCCAAAACTGTCTAACTGGGTTTTGACAGTTAAGAAACAATCAGGCAGATGCAGGTGGGCTTCATTATGCTGTGTATGTATATGTATGTAACAGCACTTCGATCCCCTTCACCACCCCCATACTCATTCCTCCCCCTCACACTGACCTGCCCCAGACAGTCTCTTTACACTCATGTCCCATTACTATTATCATTATCACTTTAGGTCTAGAGTCCACACGAGTGGGGTTTAAATTCATGGCCTCGAGTTTGCCAGGCAGGTGCTCTACCACTTGAGCCACTCAGCCCTTTTTATGTGTGTTAGGTATTTTCAAAATAGGGTCTTTACAAACTATATGCCAGGTTGGCCTTAATCCTCAAACTTCCTCCTGATCTCTGCCTCCCGAGTAGAGCAAAAGCCACTGGTGCCCTGCTAATATTTGGCTTTTTGACCTTGGCTTATCTTGCTCAACAGCAGGATCTCCAGTTCCACTAGTTTTCCTGCAAGCTTTAAATGTCACTATTATTATCATCATCATTATCATTATTTTTGATAGGGTCTTGTTATGTAGTCCAGGCAGGCCTTGAACTCGAGGTCATTCTGCCTCAGCCTCCTGAGTGCTGGGATTACAGATGGGCACCATCACACCAAGCTTTCCATTATTTTAATTTAAAGGTTGGCAAACTTTTTCTGTAACTGGCCAGAGCCAAACAGTAAATATGTCTGATTTTGTGGACCATGTAAGTCTGCCACAACTACTCAACTCTTCTAACACAATTGCCACAGATAATGATTTGAATGCACTTTTTGTCACTGAACTGTACACTTATGGTTAAGATGGTAAGATTCTGTTCTGGTATTTTACCAGTTAAAAACAGCAAGGCCAGGCACAGTGGCTCCAGCCTGTAATCCTAGTTAATGAGGATCAGGAGGCTGAGGGAAGAAGTTTCTTGATCAATGGCTGGGCTCAGTGGCATGTCACAGTGGGCGTGTCATCCCAGCTATGCAGAGCAGCACAAATAGGAGGATCGTGGTCCAGGCTGGCCAGCGCATAGAGGGAGACCTTAGCTCCAAAATAATCAATTCAAAAAGGGCTGGAGGAGAGGCTAAAGTGGTTAAGTGCCTGCTTAGCAAACTCAAGGCCCTGAGTTCAACCCTATAGTACTGCAAAAAAAAAAAAAAAAGACATAATATACAAGTAAATGAGTGTGGCTGTGTGCCACTAAATCCTTGTGGACACTGAATTCTGAATTTCATTTCATATGCCAGGAGATATTTTCTGGCCCATGGGCTATAGTTTGCCGGCCTCTACCTTAGAGATAAAGGAAATTATGCTCTCCTCTTTACCACAGTGCCAGCCATCAGCCTATTTTATGCCTAAGTCCAAATGACTTTCCTTGCAAATCTTACCTTTTGCTGTTTCAAACCTAAAATTCTTCTCACTAGTTTTACTCCTTTCAGAGCTAAGGCCTCCTTGACCTCCCTCCCATGCCTGAAATTTAACAGGCTCAGAATCAAATATAGCACCTTCTTTACTTTGCTCCAAGTGCCTTTTTGCTGACTCCTCTATTCCTACATGGCATCATCTCTTCAACCTGCAAAACAGGCTTTCCCAGAGTTCTCATTCCCTCATCAAATTATCAACTGTACCACAGTAATGTGACTCTTCATGTTTGCTATACAGTAGGCATTCAATGTCTGTGATCTGAATCATAGCATCATTTCACTCTTGTTGATAGCTGTGCACCTACTTTCCCCCTTTCGCTTTCTCCCATGACCACGAGCCACGAGGACAGACCATTTTACTAGTCTGGCACTCCTCCTATTATGTCAAGAGCATGTGATATTAACAGTCTTTTCTCAGCTAGTTATGATTTGTAACTCCTTTGTATCTTGGTAATTGAAGCAGGTTTAAATGTGATTACATATGTATATACAAGAGTTGTTTAAAGAAAAAAAATCTCCCTTCCCTACTACTGTTTGGCCTTGGTGCAAAGGCCAAATATATCACACAATATTTAAACTACCTTTGGGATTAATTCTCTAGGCTTCAACTTTTCCTCAGAGGCCTCTATTCCTTCACAGAACTTTTAAAATCTGCTGTATTTGTGTGTGTGATAACAGCCCTTCTCTCACACCAAGACTTGTACACATCAGGCACGTGCTCTACCACTGAGCTACACCCCCAGCCCCACATCAAGATTCATGAGGGGCAGGACTAGGTTAGCATGCATTCCTGGAGGGAGTAACATGAACAATGTCCATGCTACAGAGGAAGCAGTGGGGATGGGGCTGCTACACTCTAAATAGGCATATATGCTATTTCAATTGATTCCTGATTTCTACTTAACAAGGTGGTAAGTAAGGGGACAAATATTTATAAAAGCTACTGTTCTAAAACCTTACCAAAATGGGCTGGGGATGTAACTCAGTTTGCCTGAGTGTGGAGTGCTTGACTGGCATGCACGAGGCCCTCATACTGCAGGAAAACAAGAACCAAAGAGTTCCTGACATGGCCTTCCAGAGAAGACATCTAAATTTCAACCTGATATTAACGGTTCTGCTCCTGCAGTCTCATTAGCCATGCCAGAGTCACCCAGACTCAGAACCTCTTTATCCTGCAGCTGTGTTGCAGTATTATGGGCCTTCCAAAGTGAGACAGGATTCAAGTTTTCTCTTAAGAGGTAAACCCATTTACTCCCGTTTTTGTTTGTTGGTTTGTTTTTTTGTGGCAGTACTGGGTTTGTATTCAGGACTTCGTACCTGCTAGGCAGGTATTCTACTACTTGAGCCAAGACACCAGCCCTGTTTTGTGTTAGGTATTCTCGAGATAGCGTCTCATGAACTATTTGCCCAGGCTGCCTTTGAACTGCGATCCTCCTGATCTCTGCTTCCCAGAGTAGATAGGATTACAGGTGTGAGCCACCAGCACCTGTCCCATTCTTTAATAAGAACGCCTCCAAAACTATGTCAGCAAATACTTTGCAGGAAAGGACAGTAAGAGAAGCGCAAGGTCTAAGAGGCTTTGGCTACCACACAGCACACTTTTAAGCTTACTTCACCTGCTTTGGGAAAGTACACAATTTGATCCACTACCATAGACAGTTTCCTAAGGCCAGGTCCTTATTGGCCCTATCAAGAAGAAAATTATTTATAAATGACGTCTAGCCTTGAGCTCATTTACCAGCCAGAGTACCCAGATACGTTGATGAAGCTGACTTTCACAGCTGATGGGTTTCCAGACAATTACAGCAGCTTCTCAGCATGTAACAAGGCAACAAAAGGAGAAACCAGTGGCCCCACAGCACTGCATCTTCTGCTTCTTAATGCAAGCAATGGAACTATAGCTAATTTCAGTTCAAACTCATTTCCCTTTTATTAAAGTCCAAGTTACCATTACATGGTTTGATACTCAATAAAGGAAAATTTGTTCGAATAAGGTAATTTGTTATATCAGCATTTCCAGGTGATGGTGTACAATCAAGTAACAATATCAGTAAGTCTGTAGGAAGCCCATCTGTAAGAGAAAAACACAAAGAATTAACAAGCAAGCGTTAATAAAGATAGCTGGAAATCTTATTTAAAATAACCTTTGGAACTACAGCCCTGGGAAATTACTCTCTCTGTAGCTTTTTCTGCTCTTATTTTAATTGGATACACTCCTTTTGAAACTTTTATAAGACAATTTAGTTCCACTTTTTAAAAAATAAAGGTCCTCTTACTCTTAGGAAGCAAATCCTCTATTTGAGCCTCATTATTAATGTCTATGAGGAAGGAGACTGTCCTTGGTAAATGCCTCAGAACCAAAATGCCTGCACTAGATGCTTGGCATAGTAAGAGCAATGGACTGAGGCTAGAATGCCTGGGTTTACACCACTACTTATATGGCCTTGAACAAGGCATCTCAGATTCCTCATCAGTAAAGCAGGAAAATGGAAATAATTTTAACAACAGTAAATATCTCATAGGATTGCTATGAGAATTAAATGAGTTAATATAGACGGCACTTACAACAGTGCCTAGCACAGTAAAAGCTATGTACACTATGTTTGTTAAATAAAATGAGTTACTGCTTATAAATTTTGTTTTAGAGGATTTTCTACATTCTGCCCACTGCCTAGATAATCTTGTGATGTGATGGTTTTTACTACTTAATCTATCTTTCCACAGAGAACGAGATATCAAATAAGTTTTACTACTGAATAGATTTTTTTGTCTATTAAGTTCTAACCTAGACACACAAAAATATCAAATTAACTTTGCTAGTAAAAAAAAAAAATAATAAGGGCACACAGAGAGCTCCAACTCTATGTGAAACCAGTCATTTCTTGGGAAAAAACAAAAACCAAAAAACAGCTCACAGGGTTGGCAGAATGACTTAAGTGGTAGAGTGCCTGCCTAGCAAGCGTCAGGCCCTGAGTTCAAACCCCAGTATCACCAGAAATAAAATCATTGAGACTGGAGGAGTGGCTCAAGCAGTAAAAATGGCTGCCTAGAAAGTATGAAGCCCTGAGTTCCAAACCCCAGTGCTGGGAAAAAACCAAAAAAACCCACAAATGAAATATGGCAAAATAATAATATATGAAAATCTAGGGTGGGTATGCATGGAATCACTGTGCTATCATCTATGCTAGTCTTTACACTTGAAATAGTTCACGGAGAGATTTTTAAATACGGAGGATTTTGGCTGCCTTCACACCAGTAAGAGAATGAAGACAACTAGAAGTAATTTCAGTTCTTTACATTTATCACCATGGTCCTCTCTAAGTCCCTTATGCTCATGGCCATGACCTCTAGCTAGAAGAGCTCTGAGAGTGCTCAGAGTCCTCCCTCCTCGGTGGTGTGCTGCTCACCTATGGGGGTTTACACTTTGTCAAGGCCCAGTTCCTCTGGAGTGGAGATTCCCAGTTCGTTTAAAGTTGGTCTAAGTTCCTGGATGACATATGGGTAGATTTCCTTATGAGGTCCTGCTTTGTCCTGTTAGCAAAGAAAATAGTCAAGTTAACTCTGAGAAGTTATCTCTAACAAAATTGAACTTGAGAAAGCTTTAAATCATTTATCTATGCCGAAGTTGGAAGCACAGAATTAACATAAATTATCTATTTTCATGCGACATATTTGTCCAATGAAGAAACCAATCTATACTGTGCAAAGTAGGTTTTAAAAGTATTTTGAGCTGGGTGTGGAAGTGCACAACTATAACCCCAGCTACTGGAAGGTGGAGGCAGGAGGATCATGAGTTTGAGTAAAGCCCAGACAACGTTAATGAGACCCTACCTCAAAAACAAAATATAAACAAAAGGGCTGGGGGCATGGCTCAAACGGTAGAGTGTCTGCCTTCTAAGGTATGCAAGGCCTTGAATTCAATTCCAGTACCACCGAGAAAGAGAGAGAGAGAGAGAGAGACAGAGAAACAAAGACAATTAAGACTAAATTCAGAAAAAAAAATTTAAGTCTAGAATTACTGGAAAAGAATGTGGTGATGACAGAATTTTCTAAAGATAATTAAACGTGCACAGCAGGCAACAGGAAAAATTGAGTTAACACAGGGTAAGGTTTTAATTTGCCTCCAATGTAAAATCCTAACTGAATTAGCTACCAGTGCTGAACGGATCTCTAATTATTTTGCCCACTACAGATAAAGTAATGGCACTTTGCTCCTTACGGACCTTGAACTTCTCACAGACCACAGCATCTCATCTGCAGAGCTGCACTCAGGAGTATCTATGTCCAGGACAGGAGGCTTTCGAAATACTCACCAAACACACACGTCTATATTACTAGTACTTGCACAGTAATAACCAGTTAGTTCTGGGAAGTCCCATCCTAAGAAAACTAACAACATTTCATTTCATATCATTTCACAAATAGCAAAAGGATGAATACCTTTTCTATGCCCTCAATTATTCATTCAGATCAATTTTCAAATAAAATTGCTGAGCCAAAGTATATCATGCACATTTTTTAATATGTTGGACAAATTTTAATTACAATGTATATTTCCTCTAGCTATTTAAGAACTAATAGTAGATTATTAGGGAAGAGAATGGGGATCCGAGGAAACAGGATAAGAGAGGGGAATAAGGAGGTTTGATATGATCAAAGAATATAATACACACGAATCACATTGAAGTTCACTATTTTGTACAATTTAATGTTCACTATTTAAAAAAAGAACTAATTTTAGGTAGTTTAACAAATTTAAAAACACAATATGCTGATATCTGATCAACAGCCCTTCTACTTCTGAAATAATTTTAGCATTGTTATTTCACTGACCTTAACAACTTCTAGGATGCGAACAGCACTAGCAAAATCATTTAACCGTCTGCAAGCCCGCAAAGCAGCATCAATGATTTTGGGTTCTGGAACCAGATCATAGCCAACAAGAGTGTTCATCCCTGTTAAATTAAAAAGAAGGGTAAGTCAACCTGAAATGCCCTCACTTAAATTAAAATTTAGTTCTATATATTCTTACTGAATTATGGACATGTGACTGTATCTGTTTGGGCCTCTATTATCTATAAACTGAGAATTTACCTTTAACAAATTCTAGGTGATAAAATAACAATGGCTCTTCCACAGTGAATTAGTAAAATTATGCAACATGCAGACAGACAGAAAAACTCTTAAACGCAACACTATTTTCATAATTTTTCTCTTCAAACAAGAGGGTCATTTTCAACTTAAATTTAACTCCTAATATGATACACCTATTTTAGATGCTTTAAAACAGATTGTATTGGAAAGTAATCTAAAAACAACCAGAAAAATGCCAAGGAAGAGTTAATGAAGCCCAAATGAGGACATTAAGGAGACATTATAGAGAAACACTAGTATAAAGACTCATAAACGTTCAGCCAGAAAATGATTCTTTTCGTGTCTGCACAAAATAACACATAATAAAATTTAAGACTCACTTAATGGGAATGCAGAATTACTGTGCTTTTCATTACTTCTACTCAAGACTATTCAGTAACAATTTCCCTGGCTGCATCAGTGAAGTCATTACGTTCCAGCAGGGAAGTTTAAGGTACTTAGGTTTCTTGCTTTTATTGTTGTAAAATATTCAAACAAACGATACAAGTGAATACAAATCATACATACAGCTGTACACCCACAGACCCTGAATTCTTGGTCTGAGATAGATTACTATATACCTACAAGGAGTACTAGTTATCTTTAATGATACTTATTCATGTTTAAAAAAATCTGCAAATTTAGGGCAAAACTCTAAAGAAAAAAATAAAAACCTCAAACCATTACTCAGAGGGGAAGAGAAACAAATGACTGCTTGTGTAAATTACCTAAAAGGTACAAAACTGTTAACTGCTCAACTAGACCTATTTCTGTAGCAGTAGTTTTCAACTGAGAGATTTTGTCGCCAGGGGACACTGGGCAATGACATTTTTGGTTTCTACAACTGTGGTGTATATATAGTGCATATAATGGGTAGAGGCCAAAATTACTGCTCAACATACTATACTGCAAAGGACAGCCACATGCAACAAAGAATTATCTGGCTCAAAATGCCCACAGCAACTGCTGTATACCCGTTTCTCAGGAAGCTCTACAGAAGCTGTAAACTCTCCTAACCTCAAGCTCCATGACAGTACCCGGTTTACATGATGCATGTCTTCAAAATACTCGCTTTCAACAAAGTGGAGAGAGAGTGCACATTTACACACTGAAGTAGACAATGTCTACATTCTAATTACCTTTACGTAATTCCCAAGCATCTATGTCTGGCTTGTTGAAGTATGTCACCCAACGAGCATCAAACTCCTCATCTGTCTCATGTGACCCATGGGAATAGCAGCGAGTTAACTGGATAGCTACAATGAAAAGAGGTAATGTCAATGTGTAGCTGAGCTGGGAGCTCATGCTATAATCCTAGGTACTTGGGAGGTAGAGATCAGGAGAATGGAGGTTCAAGGCCAGCCGGGACTACAAAGTTTGTGAGATCCACCTTCCCCCCCATCTCAACCCATAGCTGAGCGCAGTGGTGCACACCTGCTACCTCAGCTACCATGGGAAACATACATAGGAAGTTCACGGTTCAAGCCAGCCTGGGTAAAATTGAGACTCTGTCTCAAAACCACAGCAAAGAGAGGTTGGAGGCATGGCTCAAACAGCAACATCCGTCTCTCAGGTGCAAAGCCCTGAGCTCAAATGACAGTAGCCGCACCCCCATCCAGTAGTTCACTAACTTGCTCAATGCATTAAGCTGTTTTTTTTATTTGGTTGGTTTGAGACAGGGCCTTGACATGTAGCCAGGCTGGCCTCCAGCTTTGTTCTCCTGCCTCAGCCAACATGCCCAGCTCTTCTCATTTTATTTATTTATTTTTTTCATTTTTCTTTTATTATTCATATGTGCATACAAGGCTTGGTTCATTTCTCCCCCCTGCCCCCACCCCCTCCCTTACATTATTTTTTTGGTGGGACTGGAGTTTGAACTCAGAGTTTTGTGCTTGCAAAACAGGCCCTCTTTTACTTTTGAGCCACACCTCCAATACATTTTGCTCTGATTATTTTGGAGGCGTAAGCCATTGGCGCCCGGCTTCTTCTAATTATTCTTTGAAGGCTTCTTAATATTCTCACTTAAATTATCATTTGAGCCTACAGCAAAATACCTATCATTAGTCCCACAAGATCACAGCACAAGTCCAATTTCCCCAAGACGAAGCTACCTCTACAGTCCATGCCCAGAACGAAGTGAGACATATATATAAAAAAGGTGAAAGTAGACATGTTTTAACTTTTATGACAAGAAAAACAACAACAAAAAGCTCTCTAGGCCTAAATGTACCTGATAAATCCAAATATTTAGTCAAAACTATACAGCAGCCAGGCATGAGTGGCTCAAGCCTGGAATCCCAGCTACTCAGGAGGCAGAGATCAGGAAGATTGTGGTTGAAGCCAGCCGGGGCAAATAGCTCTCAAGACTCTATCTCCAAACAAAACAAAACAAAACACCTATCACAAAAAGGGCTAGCAGAGTGTCTCAAGATGCAGGCCCTGAGTTCAAACCTTAGTACTGCCAAAAAAAGAAAAAAACAAAACCCACAAAACCTATGTGGCTATTTAATGTCTTACAACACGAATACATTTGATATAACTGAAAACATAGATTGTAATAACCTTTTATCCTAATGCTCTCAAGAATTTTTAAGCCACCATTTTAAAAAACCAACTATCCTTGCACTGAATACTCAGTGCAAGTATAAAATACAAGCACTTTGGAAGACTGTTTAGTTTCTTATCAAGTTAAACACACAGGCACCATATAACCCAGTAATTCCATTCCTGAGTATTTACTCAAGAAAAATGAAATTATATCCACATTCTCCCCAGAGATAAGTTTTTTTCCTGTGCTAGAGATCCAGCCCTGAGCAGTGTACATGTAGTCAAATGCTCTACTTTGACCTATATCCCAGTCCCAGAGTTAACTAGAAAACTTTACCCTTCCTTCTACCAAGAAAAGTATCCTTTTCTCGACCAATTGTTTTGTTCACTAGGCATGGACTTGAAGAGTGCTAGTTTTCTTTTCTAACTGTGAAACAATAACCAACAAAATTTAATCCAAGGAAACCTTGACCTTCAATTTGATCACCTCTCTTCCAGAAGTCAAATTACAAACTAGTTATACCCAAAAACTCTATTATACAGCAATTGTTTGGAATACCAAGCATGCACTGAGAATACAAATCTCTTCTGTAAGTGTAAAAATAGCCTCTCCTACTTGGTTTACTTAAACTGTATTCCTAATCCACTAAAGGTAAGAGCCGAATTTATTCCCTTAGCAATGGACAAGTACCCATATACTTCACATGTTTTATTTTAGGGAAATTACACAGCCATCCCACCATTACCACCTCACTTAAGTACAGCCTCTTCACCCTGCTGTGAGGCTTGAAAGGCAAAATTTTGGCAATTAGTGCTTTGATACAACATGAACATACCAGGGGAGGAAAAGAGAAGCAACTGTGAAAAACAGGAACGTTTGGTGTAGCTCAGGACTTGATCCCCAACACAGAGCAGGGGACATTTGGAAAAAAAAAAAAAAAAAAAAAAAGGTTTTTGGTATTCACTACATGCTCCATTTTTCTTTTAAAAGCTAATATGCTTTAAAAAAACAAAAACAAAAAACCCTAAGGAGCCAAGCACCAATGGCACATGTCTATAATTCTATGTACTTGGGAGGCTGAGATAGGGAGGATTGAATTTTGAGGCCAGCATGGGCAAATAGTTTGCAAAAATAACCAGAGCAAAATGAACTAGAGTCTGGATCAAGTGGTAGAGCACCCGATTTGCAAGTGTAAAGTCCTGAGTTCAAAAAAAAAAGGTACAGCACAAACTCAACCCCACGCCAACCTCCTACCCTTCCGGGTCCTTCCATAACTCTCAGGAAAAGGAGGTAGAAGCCAGGCTTTCATAGGTTTTAAGGACTGACTTAAATCACCTAATTCAGCAGTTATTGGTAAATGACTGTGCTTCAAGTTGGAAACCACTTCATGGACCAAATACTAGATTTAGGTTGTTACTTATGGCCCCTTAAGCCTACCTCCAAGGCCTCTCTTTCCTGAAATGAGAGGCTGAGATGAGGAGTACTGAAGTTCAAAGCCAGTTCCCACAAAAAGCTCAAAAGACCCTATCTTGAAAACATCCAACACAAAAAAGGACTGGCCTACTGGTTCAAGTGGTAGAGCACCTGCCTAGTAAGCATGAGGCCCTGAGTTCAAACCCCAGTACCCCCAACACCAAAAAAGAAATCTAACTCTTTTTTACTTTTTTTTTTTGAGATAGGGTCTCATTAGATAGGCTGGGTTAGCCCTGTTTGAGATTCCTGTCTGGGCTGGTGGAGTGGCTCAAGTGGTAGAGCACCTGTCTAGCAAGCGTGAGACCCTGAGTTCAAATTCCAGTACCACCCAAAAAAAAAAAAAGATTCCTGTCTCAGCCTCCCGGAAGTGCTAGGATCATAGATGATTACAGACGTGGGTTACCTTGCCTGGCTTTTTTGACTTTCGTTTAGTGGCATTGGGGATTGAACCCAGGGCCTCCAGCAGAACTCACTATCACTTGAGCCACACCTCACCCTTCTTGTTTTGTATATTCTTGAGATAAGGTTAACTTTGCCTGGGCTATAGCTCGGATTATAGATGTACACCACCATGTGGTTGCTTTTTTGACTTTCAGTTGCATAAAACCTCTATGGTCTCACAGTGGTAACAAACCTCTACCTATAATGCCCAAAAATTATCCAAAAGGACTGGAGATGTAGCTCAGTGGTAGAGCACTTGCATGATATGCACAAAGCCCTGGGTTCCATCCTCAGCACTGAAAAAAAAAAAAAAAATCCAAAAATGAAATACACTTTAATAAAGCAAACATATAGTTTAGGTATCACATAGCAGCATTTCAGTCAAACACAGACTGCATTTAAGAAGGAATACACCACGCAGCCTTAAGCAAAACATGACTATATTATTTGCACTGCATAAGGTAACAGAAAATTACATTATCTCACTCAAACCTTACAACTACTAAACATTATCCTGATTTTACACAAGAGGCAATTGAGGCTTAAGATTAAGTAACATGTCCAAGGTCACACCGATAAAAAGCAGCTGACACAACTTGTGATCAATACTGCCTCCCGGTGGCAAATATTTAAGTGTAAAGGACCGAATGCCTAAAATAAAGCCTTGGGTTTATGAATTACACTCCAGAGGGTGAAGAGAATGCCTGGGAGATAAACCACCAGGAAAAAAAGAATCTACTTAATATAGGGTTTGCCAAAAACCTCTGCCATTTCCCAAAACTGCTAAATGTAGAAATTTTTTTCCAGAAACTTTTAAGATGTCAAAAGAAACCTCCAACCGTGTTATCTACATAAAAACTAATCTAATACTTGCTACTTCAGCAATTACATAAGTAAAGAAACAAAATCCCCACAAAATCTGACAAACATCAGGATGGGCCGAACCAACTTTTATAGTTAAGAAACAAATAGGTGGGCCCCCGACTTCTCTTGTAAAATACGATAATCTCCACGGTCTGAAAAGTGTGTGTCAGCCATACTGTTTTATGATCCATTATGAAACATAAAAGTCTGGATTGAATAAAGCACAAAATATTCTTGAGATTCAAACAGTCAAGGAAGTGTGTTACTAAGTTTTTGACTACCTGAGTTATTTTACTGTTTCAGTATGTCAAACTTCAGGTCATACAGGACCTAAATCTCATAATATACATACTACCACCATGAACCAAGATCCAGGTACAACTACAATTAAAAGTACTGGGGGCTGGAGCTGGAGCTCGGTGATGGAGAACTTGCCTGAGCATGCATGATCCCCAGCATCACACAAAAGGACTACTACAGTGCTGGACATAAAATCTCCCGGAACACATGTAAAGAGGAGGGTAAAATATAGGAGACAATTAGCACATTTCATACTCCAGCAACGAGGCTTCTTCTAATCCAAACGGAGGGTGCGGCAGGACCCAAAAATGAATGTTTGCAGACATGTTCGCAAGAGTCACATTCGTACCCTAAAACCTATCCAGAACGCTCAGGCTCTCTTCCAAACCGCAAGCAACCCACCACCCGCTTCCATGTGTCCGAACGTGGCTCAACAGTCACTACGGCCAGCACGGGCTGCGGAGGTGACAAGCAAACCGTCAACAGAAAACCGTCGGACCCGGGTCTACGGTGCCCATACGGAAGCAGGGAGCGCGCGAGGCGACGCCGGGGCGGACGCCGCGCCCCGAGGCTCAATGTCACCTTCGCCAGGACACTGCGGGCCGGCGGGCGGAGTCCGCTCGGGGCCAGGTGGCCATAGGGTCGTCCGGGGACACGGTCACGGCCCTGGGGCGGAGGGGGGGAACCCCGCGCCCCTTCCCCGGTCACACCTGACCCGTGGCGATGCCGGCGCCGGAAAGTCGCAGCCGAGAAAGGCCCCCGGGCGCGCCCCCACGTCCTCCGCGGCTCGAGGCAGCAGCGAGGGCAGTGGCAGTCCCAGGGCTCGGTCGCCCGCCCGCAGGGCAGAGGCTAGGCCGCCGGGGGAGCCTGCCCTCGAGTGGCGTGGGGGCCCAGGTCACCGCAAGGACACACGGGCGCGGGCTCCGGCGGGCGGACGGCTTACCGGCGACAGGGCTCGGGGCCGGGGTCGAGTGCCGAAGGCCTCGGGAGCCGGCCCGGGAGGCTGCGGCCAGAGCGCAGCGGCGGAGAGCAGCGCCTAGCATCGCGGCGATGGCGGCGCGCTGGCTGAAGCCGGAGAGAAGCCGGGTGTGAGCTCGCGGGCCGCTCCGGAGCTCGCGGGGGCGGGACTCACGCAGCGACGCAAAGTGGGAGGGGCGTGTAGCCCCGCCCCCTGCGGCGGGCTACGGCGGGGCGCTGAGGACAAACCACGTGGGCGCCTCGCGCTTCCTCCGCCTCAATGGGTGGCCTTAGTGGATCCGCCAGGGACTGTGTGAGGGATCGAGCCCGCCAATGGAGGAAATTTTACCACCGCAATATGGAGATAATAGAAATAACAATGACCAGTTGTAATAAAAATACTCAGCCGGGTGCCGGTGGTTCACTTCTAGCTGGCATCTGTAATTTTAGCTATTCAGGAGGCAGAGATCAGGAGATTCGCAGTTCAAAGCCAGCCTGGGTTCTCGAGACCCTATCTCAAAAATCCCATCACAAAAAAGGGCTAGTGGAGTGGCTCAAGGTGTAGGCCCTGATTTCAAGCCCCAGTACCTGAAAAAAGGAAAAAAAAAAAAAGGAAAAATTAAAGAAATAAGTTCCCCTTATAAATGGGAACAACCAGAGCTTGATCCTATTGGGGACCCATGTGACAGTGCAGAAGGAAATGCAGGAACCCATGGAAGGATTGAGGAGGCTAAGGGGGGTTCTTTATTGGCCGAGGGCTGTTCCTGGCACTTCTGAGCAAAGTACGCCCTCTAGCAGAAAAATCATAGGGGTAAAAATCCATCAGAAATGGCTAAGGGTTTGGGGAAGGCATTATGCAGTATCATCTACCACAACCAGGACCTAAACCTAAGTCCCACAGGGCAACTAGGTCAGGTCTGCGATAGCAACATAAGGGAGGCAAAGGCAGTAGGACCACAAGTAAGAGACCAGCCTAGGCTATAGAGCAAGCTTGTGTTACAAAACAAAACCAAATCTTTGCTCACTGGATCTCCCCTTGAGACTAAAATAAGAGAACAAATGGGAAAGAAACTGCCTACATTCATGGGAATGTATTAGTGACTATTCTTATATCATCAATTGACAAGCATTAAAAGATGAGTCCAAGTCAGGCACCCGTGGCTACTTGGGAGGCTGAGATTAGGAGGATCACGATTCAGGGCCAGTCCGGGGAACTAGTTCAGGAGACCCCCATCTCCAAAATAACCAAAGCAAAATGGACTAGAGGTGTGGCTCAAGCAGTACAGCACCTGTGAAGCCCTGAGTTCAAACCCCAGTCCCACTTCAAAAAAAAACAAGTCCAACTTCTTCATTTTACAGATAAGAAAGCACTCAGAAATTAGTTTGTTGCAATTGAGGCTCTTCCCCACGTCTTCAGTTCTGAGGATTCTCTGTATTTTTATGACCACTGCCTAACTCTATTCCCTACAAGAAGGCTTCTTATTTTTATTTATTTTTTGTGGTACTGGGGTTTGAACTCAGGGCCTACACCATGAGCCACTCTACCAGCCATTTTTGTGATGGTTTTTTTTCCAAGATAGGGTCTCATGAGGTATTTGCCCTGGGGCTGGCTTGGAATCCTCCTGAGTGGCTAGGATTACAGGTGTGAGCCACCAGCCCCTGGCTAGGAAGGCTCTTGACTCTCTTGCAGACCCTCTGAAATGGGGTTGATCAAGTTCCAAAACTTTTACATCTAATCTGGTCTCAGTTAATACATCTTGACTCTGAGCCCCTGCTCAGTGGGGCACTTTTCCCAGGCCTGAATGATTTGATGCCACCCAGAGTTAAAGTAAGTCTCCTTTGTCTTGATCTCCCATTGTCTGTCCTGGGCCAACTGAAGATAAAACAGCCAGCATTCAGGTCGCTCTTCCTCGCTATAGGCCCTCTCTCCTGCTTCTCAGTACCCCTGTCCTCTTTTCCTTCCCTAAAGTGTGGCTTTAGAGGGAAATGAACCTGCTCGGGAAAGAGTTAAAAAGCTTTTGTTTTCAAAGTCATCTGTCCCTACCTTCTTCCACCAACCTAGCCAAAACATGTCTGAGAAGCTCCGACCTCTTTGCTGTCAATGAGTGTTATACAAATCTCCAAGAGCTAGAAGCTCAGGATGAAGTCAGGACTCCCATAAGTAAGAAAGCTCTGGGGTGTGTTGTAAATGAATTCCAACTGTTCTCCCTGCTTGCTGACAGTCTTCCCACTTTCACCTAGATTGGCTACTGATTTTTTTTTTTTTCTGTATCACTAGGTTTGAACTCAGTGCCTCATTTTTACTAGGCATATATGCCTACCACTTGAGCCACTCCACCAGCCCTTTTTTTGTGATGGGTGTCTTCAGGATAGGCTCTCGTGAACTACTTCTGGCTTTGAACCTTGATCCTCCTGATCTCTGCCTCCTGAGTAGCTAGGAGTGAGCCACCAACACCAGCTGGGGTTTTTGTTTGTTTTTATTTTGTTTTTAAGAAATATAACATTATAAGCCAGTGAAATGATGATATATGCATGTAATCCCAACTATTTGGGAGGGTGAATGGGGAAGATCACTTGAACCCAGGAGTTGGAGGCCAGCATGGTAAACAAAGCGAGACCACCTGTCTCAAAAACAAAAAAAACAAAAAACCCCCAAAACAATTGTGATTATTATATGCCACTGTATACCACTGATTATTTATTATCTACTTATCTATGCTTCATAACCTTGTGACACACATGTTTATCTCTTTTAGTTTTTATTTTTTTGGTACTGGGGTTTGAACTCAAAAGAGCCCAATGCTTGCTAGGCAGGCATTCTACTAGTTGAGCTACACCCCAGCCATTTTTTGCTATAGTTATTCTTCAGGTAGGGCCTCAAGTGTTTGCCCAGAGTTGACCTCAGACCTTGATCCTCCCACCTATGACCTCTCACACAGATGGGACCACAGACTTACGGCACCAAGCCCAGCTTATTAATTGAGATGATGTCTCACTAACTTTTTGCCCAAGTCGTAGCTGAAGTTTTTGCCCAGGCTGGACTCCAAATCTGATTGTCCTGATCTCTACCTCCCAAGTATCTGGAATTACAGGTGTAAGCCACCTGACCTATTTTATTTTTATTGAGATAGGGTTTCACTATGTAGCCTGGCTAGCCTGGAACTAGTGATCCTCCTGCTTTAGCCTCCCATGTGCCATCATACCTGGCTATCTCTATTTTATTGACGAAGGAATAGACTCAAATGACACTTGTCCAAGAATCACACAGACCATAAATAGCAGGCCTTAGATTTGAGCCTGTTTTTCTGTCTCTAGAAATTGTTTCCTTTCTTACCTTGGCTGAAAGTTTTTCTGTCTGTAGAAATTGTTTCCTTTCTTACCTTGGCTGAAAGAATTCACCTGCCAGTGAATTCTGAGCCCCCTGCTACCTGTAAAGCAGGCCTCAGCCCTAATCACCTGTGTTTGTTTACTGCAGAACAATTTATCACAAACTGAGCAACTTAAAATAATATCCATTATTATTTTCCAGTTTGTGTGGATCAGAAGTCTAGGTATAGCATAACTGAATTCTCTACCTGGGATTTTTTTTTTTGTAGATCTGGGGTTTGACATATTCAGAGTCTTGCAAGGCTAAAATCAAGATATTGACTAAGTCCGTGGTCTTATCTAGAACTTGGAGTTGTCTTTCAAGGTCATTCAGGTTGTTGGCAGAATTCAGTGAATGAGTCTCACTCATTCACTGAATTCTCACTCATTCATTCACTGTCAACCACGAATACTCTTAAACTCCTACATCCACCCTTGTGTCCCCACCATGTGACTCCCTCCAAGGCCCTCTCACAATACTGTAGCTTATTTCTTCAGGCCAGTGGGCAAGTGTCTCTCTGACACTTCACCCCTTTTTAAACATCTCACCTGAGCAGGGTGCTAGTGTCTCACAACTGTAATCCTAGCTACTCAGGAGGCAGAGATCAGGAGGATTACGGTTCTGGGCAAAAAGTTTGCAAAACCCTATCTTGAAAGTGTCCAACACAAAACAGGGCTGGTGGAGTGCCTCGAGTGATAGAACACCTGCCTAGCAAGTGTGAAGCCTTAAGTACGAACCACCATTAAAAAAGAAGAAGAAGAAGAAGAAAATCTCACCTGATTAGATCAAACCCACCTAGGAGAGCCTAAGAGATCAAGAGATGACAACCTCATGCTTAATACCTTAGCAACTGTTCTGAACAAACTCACTTTCTCCTAATTCAGTTTCAGGTTCTGAGGGCTCAGCCTCACCATGATAACCATGTTAGGCAGAGAGGAAGGAAGCATGATGGCTGAGAATGATGGCTTGGGTGTTGATAAGGAATCACATCCTGGATTGCTAACATTAATGGAACGACTTGTGACATTCAGGAGGAGGGTCTTGCTGACCTTCCATGGGCAGCTCCCACAGCCCATGGAAAATCACAGCCAGGTCTGAGCATGCAAGGCTAAACACTGCCCTCACTCAACACACGGAGGAGCTGATGACACATTAACCCAGTCTCCAGAAGTTAATGACACATTAACCTAGTTTTCCTGGTCTTATCACCCCCATGTCTGCAGACCCCAGTAAAGGCTTGAGGTCTTGGGACTCCTAGTGCAGCTTCCCTCTTGAGTCTGCCCCCCTCCAGCTGGAGAAGCTACTTCCTTTTTATGTGTGTGTGTGCAGTACTGGGGTTTGTACTCAGGGCCTACACCTTGAGTCACTCCACCAGCGTTTTTTTTTTGAGGGTTTTTTCAAGACAGGGTCTCAAGAACTATTTGCCTAGGCTGGCTTCGAACCACAATCCTCCTGATCTCTGTCTCCCAAGTAGCCAGGATTTCAGGTGTGAGCCACTGGCGCCAAGCTGGAAAAACCACTTCTGCTTTGCTTTCACTTTGTATTAATAAACCTGCTCCTGCTTAAATCTCCTCTGTGTCCATCCTTGAATTCGTTCACTGACAAAATCAAGAACTTCCTGACCCCCAGACCTAGAAACCCTAATCCAGTGACAACTAGACTACCCACTACTTGAGATACCAGTCTCAAGCACAGGTCTCAGGAACTCCTGACGAACTTCCAGTTGGGAGTTCCTACAGCTTCTTCCTTGGGTTTGATTAATTTGACAGAATGGCTCACAGAACTCAGGGGAACACTATCTTTTTTTTTTTTTTTCCCAGTACTGGAGTTTGAACTCAGAGTCTACAC